CCCCCCCCCCCCCCCGCAGTGTCTCGCTCTCTCCAAGGTCCTCGCCTTGTTTTTCTTATTTTTTTTGTATTTCCTTGTGCCAATTTCTCGGCTTTTTTACATTATTTATCTGACGTGCCTTTTAATTCTTGTTTTAAAAGCAGCCGGTTCAGGGTGGGAGAGGCAGGCTCCAGGCTGGCTGGATGGGGCAGGAGGGCTCTGCCCCACTCCTCCTCCCCCCCGGGCATGGGGTGAAGGTAGATTTCCTCCAGACGGTGCCCTGGTCCCTCCCCGCGGGAGCCGCCCCCTGCTCAAGCCAAAAACTCTCGTGCCGTATTTATCTGTATTGTGGAGACGCCGCTTTTCGAGTGTTTGCACCCCGAAGGTGCCACGCGGCCGGCGCCAGGCGGGCGCCCCCGCTGCCTGCGAGGCCGGGCCCGCATCTGCCGTTGTAACCAATAAAAGTGAGGAGTTGACCGGCCCGGCGACGTTCATTTCACCCTCGAGGGCTGGGTCAAAGGGGAACCTCCCACGTTTGACGGGGCCCGTCCAACTTCCCAACCCCCCTGGGGTTCGGGCCTGGTTCTCAGCTACCCCAGACCTGATAGGGACCTGCCCTGGGGCTGGGCGGAGGCCAGACGCCGCCACCCCGTCTCCTGGCGAGTTCCCTGCCGTAGCCGCGCTCTGCCTTCCCGTGCCCGGGCCGGTGGATCCGAGCTGTGGGAGCTGATGCAGGGGGAGGGAGCATCTCTCGGGCGGCTCCCCTCTTCCCCCTGGGAACAAGCTGGGCCCACGTTAATAGTGTTGCCAATTTAAAGGTTAAATCTGCAGATCTGGGCCAAGCCTGGCCTCGCTCCCCCCCCCGCCCGCCCGCCGACCTTGGCCCTGGTGCCAGCGCCGGGCAGAACTGGCTTTCACCTGGCAACAGCGCTGCTCAAAGGGATTCAGGGCTCGCGCCCGGCGGGAGTGTGGGGGGCCGGCTCCTACCCCCGCGGCTGCCTGGTTCTGGCCCCCGTTGGAGACGGGCTCAATGGGGCCTGGCCAGGCCCTGCCCCGGCGTAACAGCCCAGCAGCTGCCCCGGCGGCGCCAGTGTGGGGGGGGCTGAGCTGCAGGGGGGCTGCGATGAAGTGGGTCGGGCTTAGCAGTCTAAGCCGGGTTAACGCCCCATCTGCGGCCTGCGGCTGTCCCCGAACAATCCTCTGGCGCTGCTGCCCCATACGTGCCCAACCCCCTGCCGAGCCTGGGGATTACAGCCGCTAATCCCCTCCCCTGCCCCCCTGCTCCTGCCAATCGCGGCTCCTTTCCACTGCCCCCTGGGAGGAGCTGGGGCTCTGGGCTGAGCCCGTGGGGCAGCAGGACCCCCCTCTGCCCCCATTTCATGGTGGGGGATCCCCTCCCTCCAGCTCTCGGCTATCTCTGCCCCCTCCCCTGGCACAAACCATGGCCAAGGTGCTGGGCCCAGCGCAGCGGGAGGAAGGGGAGACGCGGGTGAGAATGGCAGGCGGGGCCCAGAGCTGAGCTGGGGTCACAGCTTCTCCCCCAGGGCCCAACAGGGGATGCTGTCCATGCCCGCTCCCCGGCTCGGGGGCTTGTCTTGGGCCCCACCCCTCTAAGACAGGCTGGGGCAGGGGCAGGAGATCTCAGCGTGCCCAGAGCAGCTGCTGCATGGGCCCCGATCCATGGGGGGAAGGGGGCTAGCCCACGACTGTCAAATTTTGCCTGCACGCCCTCACCCCGTGGGTTCCAGCTGTGAATGGCCCGTGGGTCCCCACCCTCAGCCGCAGGGGGAAGAAGCTGCCCTGTTTAACGGGAAACTGAGGCAGGGGGTGGGCACAGCCCCACCAAGGGTGTGGAACTGGAGGGGAGCTGGTTTGGGTGACACCCAGGGCCCCCCCATTGATTTATGCTCCAGGGCAGTGGAGCCAGACTCGCTCCCTGTGGGAGGGTGGGGGTGTGAAGGGGACATTGCATCCCCCCATCCCCCCACCAAGTGCCAGTCCTGGACACCCCTCTTCCCTGCACCCCCCAAAGCTGCTTGGCCTGGCCCCTCCCTTCTGCCCCCCCCACCCTGCTTGGCCTGGTTCATGGAGCTGCGCCGTGAGCCCCGATCCCTGCTGGGCGCCCAGCCAGGCCGGCTCGTTAATAATAATCTACGGAGAAACCCGCTTCATGGGACGGGGGGGGGGGGGACATAGCTCGCCGGTGGCCGTGGGCCTCAAGCCAACCCTTAATCAAGCTGTGACGGGGGACCTGCCACCTGGAGTTTTCCATCAACCCCTGCTTAGCCGGCAGGGCTGGGCCCAGGGCCAGAGCCAGGCAGCCCCCGCCTGGCCCAGGCGCTGCCATTTACTCAGGGTAATTTCCACGTGCTAATTAACCCACCCAGCTCCTCGGGGGGCTGAGGGAGCACACGACGATGCAGCCACCTCTGGGGTGGGCCACAGCAGCTGCTTAGACCGTGCTGCACCCAGCCCTGGCTGACTGAAGCTGGCAACGCTTCATAGCAGCGGAGGAGAGGCAGCAAATCGTCGGCTGAATTTAAACTGGGGGGGAGAGGGCACCTCCCAAAAGCCCCCCCCCAAAAAAAAATGCACTACTAGCCACAAGGAGCCTGCACACAGGGGTTTATCTGAATTCTGGCACTGCCCCTAGGCATGGGGGGGAGGGGTCGGAGGCGAGAGTGCCCCCCTCCCTGCAGCACAGCCCCCTCCCAGCTCCACGTTGGGGTCACAGCCACCCCAGCACTGTAGCCTGCAGCTCCCTGCGCATCACCCAGCCGCGTACGGTGCCCTCTGCCCAGCTCTCGGCCCGTGACCAGCAGAGCAGCCCCCCCCCTTTGGGGGGGCTAGGGAGGCAGCGTGGCCTAGTGCTGAGAGTGGAGCCCGGAGACCTGGGCTCTATTCCCGCGCCGGGGGTGGGGGGGCTAGTGGCTGGCTGGGGGAGGCAACCTCAGGGCACCTGGGTTCCAGTGGGCCTGGGGCCTAGTATGGGGTGGGGGTGGGGGGGCTGGGAGTCAGGACTCCTGGGTCCCCGGCCCAGCGCTACGGCTGGGGCCCGGTGCCATTTGAGCAGAAGAAAGGGCCTTGCCAGGTGCCCACAGGGCCCAGCCCTCAACTCCACCATCCCCTGCGTTCATGCACCTCCAAGCCCCCCGTGCTTGGGGGGGGGGGCTTTCCTCTGACGGGGGGGGGCACCGTGCTGGGGCCCTGGCCTGGCCCCCCCTCGAGCTCGGCTCTAAGAAAAGCCCTGGAGCGGGGGGGGCGGGGGGGGGCTGTCAATTCTGACAATGAATGATGCTCCCATTTGTGGCCCCCCCCCGTTTCATCCCCCCCCCCACTGCCCTTATGGAGCACTGCTCCAGCCTGACGTCACCCCAGGCTATTTAAGCCGGGCCGGGCAGGGCCAGCCCCAAGCTGGGACTTCACCACGGCCCCGCAGCCTCGTCTGCCAGCCCCGCTCGCCCGGGCACGTGCCGCCGGGCCCAGCCGCCATGCCCCCCAAGAAGGAGCTGCCCGTGAAGAAGCCGGTGGCCGCGCCGGCCAAACCGGCCGCCAAACCAGCCGTAGCCAAGCCGGCGGCTGCGGCTGCTAAGCCCAAAGCCCCAGAACCGGCCCCGGCCCCGGAGAAACCCAAGGAGCCGCCGATTGACCTCTCTAAAGTGGTGGTATGTGGGGGCTGCGCAATGGAGGGCAGAGAGAGCAGTGGGGGGGTGCATGGGGCCAGGACTGCAGCTGGGGGGCATCCCCCACCCCCATGTGGCAGCAACACCGCGAGGTTTAAAGCTGCCATGCGAGTGGCCAGGGAGCCCGGTGGCCGGACGGCACAGAGACATGGACAGACAAGGGGCCCCAATGACCCCGGCCCGGCCCAGCCCGCCCCACTGCACCCAGTTTGCCACCGGCAGGCCAGATAAGAAAATGCCCCCGCCCCCGCTTCCTTGTGGCCCAAATACTGACCAGCCCCAGTGCCTGCATTTGCAGGGAGTGGGGTGGGCCCCCTCCCCGAAAGGGGCGTGAGCTGGCCTCCAGAGGGCTCGTGGGGGGCAGGGGGATCCCCCAGGGACACAGTGGCTACCCCGCCCCCAGTGGGGCCAGTATTAGCCCCTTTACAGACGGGGAAACTGAGGACTTGCCCAATGTAAGTCAGTGGCAGAGCTGAGGACCCCCCCCCCCACCCGGTCTAACCACTTCCCCGCCCCCAGCGCTGTCATGGGCTGTCCCTCCGCGGGGTGCTCAGCAGTGGGGCTGAGGTGGGGGTCAATGGAGCAGGGGACTGTAGCCGGGGGACTTGCTTCATCTAACTG